GGGGAGCTAAGGTATTATTTATTGGCAATCATAGGAGCATGATTTAACAATTGATCATTGTACTGAAATTAATATTGTCCAAAATATTGGCGTCTATGCTCATTAAATGTAACAAATTCCTTTGCAATGTCCTCGATGTATAAATTGTCTGTAAATTCTTTATGTGTATGCAAAATAACTACATGATTTAGACGCTCTTGTGACATTGTGGAGTGCAAATAGTTTTTTAATCTCCTTAATGTTGAAAATTTACACTCAGCTGAAGCTAATGTTAACAGAGTTGTTAAATAAAAAAGTAGAAGCTTGTGTATTTCTGAAAAAAACTAGTGTGTGTTCTTAGAAGTTAAGCTAGTGTATTAATTGTTTTATGAAATGAATCATCACACAATATGCACACATATAAGGATTACCTAAACTAAAGTCTATAGTGTTGATAATAGTAATACATGTATATCACTTAAAGTTGGAGGGGCTAAGCCCCCCTTCAATGAAAGTTGGGGGGGCTTAAGCCCCTCCTGCCCCCCCTGTTCCTACCCCTATGAATGTAGTACTGACATGCATACCTCAGAAAATATTGTACCTCAGATGTACTGTAACCAGAAAAAGTAGTTTTTTAGTTACTTTTAATCTTCTGATGGAGAAAATGCACTAATTAAAATTTGGTAATAAAATCTATCATACTTGATTGGTTCTATTTTACAGCATAACCTTCCTCTCACTGGCGATGGGACATTTATAGCTGCCATTGAACAGAATTTGATAGTTTTTTGTCTACATTTTGTCATGTGTGGAAACTTCATCAAACTTCTGAGACAATGTGACTCAAAGTTTTGTCCTTCAGCTGACACAGAAAGAAATTTGTATCATTTTTCATTAGATCTTATCTCCAGATGTACAGCATATTCCTAAGGCCTCAGGGGAGACAAAACTTCATGGATACTGTTGATCAGACTACTTCAGTTTGGAATGCAGGTTCCTTTTTTACAAGTACTACTCTTTGGATAATTTCTTTCAATATCTCTGCAATATTACTGAAGGCCTAAGCACTACTGCAACTTTAATATTTTATTTACAATACATGCAGGCTCAGGTTGTTTGCTGATCTCCACGGTCAACTCCCACTTCTTGTATAGGCGTACTAACTCCCGCTCCGTCTCCCGCTTTTATCCGTCAACTCCCGCTCCTGCTCCCGCTCCGTCTCCCGCTTTTATCTGGTCCCTTAAGAATACACTGTCATTAAAAATATTTTTATCTAGATCTAATTTCCTACAGTAAGTTTATTCATGTTGACAAATCAACATTCCACTAACAATGCAAAAGCTAACCCATGATCACCAATGTTTTTCATTTAGATTATAATTACATTAAATATGCATTCTATTTTAATACAAACCTCATTGGTCATGTAATGGCCTACCTGTTGGAGTGAGTCTTGATGCACAGAGTGATAAAATGAAAAAGACAATAAATGATATTAGATCTACAGCTGATGCTTGAAAAACAGGAGCCTTGTCCCTTCCAGATGTACAATTCCTTGTAGGTAAAGACTCCCCATCACTTTCATAACGACTGCGAGGACCAGTAGCTGCTTGACAACAATTCCAACTCCCAATACTGGCCCTCCACTGGCAGACGTCAATCATCTTTTATAGACTAAAAGAGCAGTAGCAGGCAAGGACACGACTGCAGAAATATATCTTTCCAAAGGAGTAGAAATAAATTAGAAAACGAGTAAACAATGTAAAAAATATATTTCTTCCCAAATATCTAGCAATGCAGCTCCACCCTTGCTTGGGTGTAGCTCAATCTGATTGGTCTATGATGACACCCTTACTTACCGGTAGAATCATGCTTAAATAATAAACAAGGTATTTAGGTACATTTACATGCACTGCGGTAATAGTGAAAA